ACCTTGAGATTATCATTGCTTTGATCAATTACTGTGTCTTAAGATATTTCTTTAAAATATCTATTTAAAATCATGACTTAATTAGCATGTATCTAGGACAAGCAGTCTAAAATATTTATTCTTTTCGTCATATAATTTACTTTATTGCTCATATGCTTATAGGTATTCATATTGCGTTTAGTGTTATGATTAAACATGATCTTTTTCTCATATTCCGTTCGAGCATTACATTATCCAAGGTTTGTCAGTATCTTAAATCAATATTTCTAATGTTTATAATGGTAAATGCAGGTTCATGGTCGGTAACATTTCGTTAAATTTGAACATCAAAAAATATATGCATCAAATTACAGTATCACTTTCAATAATATGATCTAAAAGTGCAGAGGAATTAACATTTTGTCTAGTTTGTTCAGTGATTACATTTACTATATTATAATGAGACATTTTAATCTCCTGTGATAATACCGTATGAAGTGCAACATTAACCCCAGTGCCTCATATGTTGTAATTTGCTGGTACAATTATACGAGAGAAGCGGGGGTCTGTATAAATGTGACCATATCATTTCAACATGCCCAAATTCCAGATCAGTTCTCCGCTTTGTAACAACAGGATTCAGAAATATACATAGCAACACCACCACCAAACATATTTCTGTCTTTGCGAAAAGGTTCAGAGAAGCCATCAGTCATAATGTCGACAACAACAATCGTCAAGATGAGTTTCAGTAATGCATAAAATATCAACATCGCCTGTTAGGGAGTTCAGGTAGCTGATTTTGATTTGTAAAAAGCGAATTTTCAAATTAAGTATACTTTAGTCACTAGTGGGTGAACTACTATCAGGATAAGGACCAGAGTTTGGATGGATATAGCCAGCTATCAACAAAATAATTATAGTCGTACTGAACAGATTTAGAATGTAATGGTACAACTACAGCAGCAAAAATATATCAGATGGAGACAGTTTCAAAAATACCGTGTTTAAAAACAAAGGTTACTGGTGAACATGATAATTTACAATGATGGTAGCTTTCCATACACATACGTCGCTACCTGTCATGGTGGATGGAAAATTAAAAAAAAATACTTGGTGTGAATAGGTCTGCAAACGGTATATGTAACAAGGGATTCAATTGTATGGATTGAGCTTGATTTGCTGGATTTCACTTTTTTTCATTCACTTTTTCACCTCCATGTAGAGGTAAGGGGCGACAACTTTGCAATATTTTGTCCTTGTCTCATCGTTTCATGATATAGTTGTTTTATTTTAGAAAGATTCTTCAGTGATTAATAGATGAAATATTTGGATATCCAGAGGGGAAGTCGAAGGCCGAAAAGATGGAAAACCATTACAGATAACCATTGGGGAGACCTACTCTGGAAGATATATTACAAAATAAAAACTTTACTAAAACATTACTAAAAAATGAACGCTCTTGTTATCACTTGTGAGTCTGATGATATCTGTCTCCATTAGATGTTAAAACATGTTTCTATTTCTATATAATGGACGAGGTTATTGAAATTAACAAATATGTTCAGAGGAAACGAAACGAGCATTTTCTGAAAGTGTCTTCTCCAAAAAATGGATTGTCACATTTTGCACACGGGGAATAAATCACAAAAATAAGAATTTTCATATGAACCATTCGTCATATATACAGAATTTTTATCACAAATTTTGCACATATTCATCTCCAAGTAGATTAGAAAAAAAGTCCCGAGTAATAGCATTTGTGCATATTATGAATATGATTTTAAGTTGTCAGAAAATGTCTATATGGACCAACAACGTCTCCTTTTAAGCTGTAGCGTGGTTGAGCAATTTTTCAGGCCTATGTGGCCTCTTTCATATAAAGGTCTTTATAGTCAGATGACCGTTAAGGCTAGTGGGTCTCTTGTCTTTCAAGGTCACACAATGGACTTTTATCAAATTTGAATGTTTGATATCAGCTGGTCATTTAGGGACTGATATATTCATTAAATGAAATGTTTTTCATGTGCACGTGTACGTATCAATTCAGTTTCAAGAAATATATCATATTTTCTTTGCATTTTATGACTTGACATTTCTTATAGAACATTTTACTTTTTGTTTTTTTTTTGTTTTTTTGTTTTTTGTTTTTTTGTTTTTTGTTTTTTTGTTTTTTTGTTTTTTGTTTTTTTTTCAACCTTAATGTAAACAGCATTTTAATTGCAATCTACATTTCCCAAAAGTTGTAATAGACTAAAAACTGATAGCACTATCAAAATATTTCCAACAGGAAAGTTGACAAGTGTTGCCTCATTTTTGATACAGGGTGAAGGAGTAACCTTTGAATTACTAAATATCCTTATATAAACCATGCAGGACTCTAAATGTATAAACCATGTAAAAAACAAAAAAAAAAACGAAGATAATTCCCAACCCTTCAATGATATTTTGCTAATAAGAATGCCACAAGTGGAGACACAAGTTATTTTATTTTGTTTAAGTGTATCACGTGAAGTTTTTATAAAATAAATAAATGAATAAAGAAAAGTTAAGATAAATGCTTTTCTGGAAAATAATACAGAATAAGTAGTTTTGTGTCTACACGTATATCTACTAAATAAAAGAGATTTCATCTATTAAATAAAAGTTTGTGCAATAGATTTGTTGTAAATATACGTAAACATATCACTTAAATAATCAAATGTAATATTTACTACTTGTGGATATTTACTTTTTTATTGTCAGCCGTAAGTAAAGTTAACTCTTCGTCGCTAGAGGTACTAGCCTGTCTATCAATACACTTATATACTAAATATACGAATGCAAACTGACTATTAATGTGAGTCATCAGTGTCGCCAACATCTAACCGTCTGGTATCTGAAATTTTAATAAATATAGTGAAGGGTACATCAGCAACGTCGACGAAAAAAGACTTAATAACCAATTACCACTCATGTATGTATAGATAATGATTCATGTATAATATACGTCCCTGATTAGATCCTAGAATATAATTTAGATACAGGTCATGATGAATATGAGGTTAACCTGGAAAGAAATATAAATCCGGAGACCTACTCTGGAAGATATAATACAAAATAAAAACTAAAACATTACTTAAAAATGAACTCTCTTGTTATCACCTGTGTTTCTGATGATATCTGTCTGTATTAGATATTAAAACATGTTTCTATTTCTATCTTATGCACGAGGTCATTGGAATTAGCAAAAGTATCAGCAACTTCTCCAAATAATAGCAAATATGATTCGTTGATGTCACAATTTTACACGGTAAATAAAAACAAAAAATAACAAGTTTGGTATCAACCCTTTCTTATATATTCAGAATTTGTGATGAATTTGTATCACTATATTAGTAGAATGTGCTCATGTAATTGGTGAGGGAGACAAAACACGACAACAATGAATTAAAACTGTAGGAATGAACTAAGTAATTTACAATTAATTTATATTTCGTTCCTATAAACATTGTCATTGTGTTTATAATGAATGATCTAACGGCTAATGCTATATTGCATGCTAGCATAGATTAGAACTTAGTTCTGATTGGACAGTAGCCCGTGTTGGCCTTTCTAACATATAAACGTGACACGCCTATTTACACAGGGCTCCTCATAGGTTTGATAAATGACGAAGATCGTTTACCAATGCACTACCCTAATATTACTGTATGGTTGGTTGGTTGACAGGTTTTCCGTCACCGTGACTCCTCCCGTGACCGGGTATCATCTCACCAACTAACGTCAATATTCTGGCTTTATGGATCATCGGTATGTATATATACACCTCGCCACTCCAAAGGTAAGGCATTGAAATATTTTCTTTCTCTTTTCTTTTTCTTAATCACGTAGTTTGTAAAATGAGCTGCTTTGTCTTTCTTTAAACGAAAGACGGATATATTATTTCCCAATTAATATTTAAATACTGACTTTGTGGTGCTAATAATATCCACATTCAGGAAGTGGTTGTATTCGTTATACCTTTGTATGTAACTTTATACTACAGATAAAGATCAGATTATATTTCCCATATAACCATCCTCGACACTCCAGAGGTTACAATCACTATTCACTCTCTGCACCCCAGAAACATGGTATGCTGTACTGGCTTTGAAGTTGGGTGTCGCTCCTTTGTGATCTTCAAAAGAGCGTTTTATCCTGTGCTTGGTGTTTCCCTGAAACCCGTTATAGACCAATCAAATTACTTCGTTTGTGTCTTCGATTTTGGCAAGACATGTTCCAGGGGGGCAGAGAGCGAAAGTGATCGTAACCCCTAGAGTATCAAGGACATGTTCCAGGGGGGCAGAGAGCGAAAGTGATCGTAACCCCTAGAGCATCGAGGACATGTTCAAGGGGGGCAGAGAGCGAAAGTGATCGTAACCCCTAGAGTATCGAGGACATGTTCCAGGGGGGCACAGAGCGAAAGTGATCGTAACCCCTAGAGTATCGAGGACATGTTCCAGGGGGGCAGAGAGCGAAAGTGATCGTAACCCCTAAAGTATCAAGGATGTTAAATAATGTATTCAAAAGGTTGCCCCACCCAGCCATAAAGCATTTACTATTGGTTACACAAACACATATTTACAGTTTATGGTAATTCCATTCTATAGATAAACCGCGAGCAGGGTATTATAAGTTCCAAAATCTACATCAAGTTACTATGGAGACAGCGAAGGTCAAAATGGCTTTTCCACTTGGTATACACATATAGTAATGAAATAATAAATACATAATAATGAAGGACTCGAAACATTTTGAAACCACCTGGTACTTCGGTTGCCATAATGATACCTTTCATCAACATTTTGTACTGTCATAGTGCGACACTGACTGAATGGTTCATGGATATTAAAGTAATGGACAACCGCAGAGTCTTACAAATAACACAATAGTTCACATTCTAGCCCTGATTATATTGTTAACAGGTTGGTTCTTAACTCTAAGCATTGGTTTACAATCATTTATCTCATAACCTGTTGTTGGTATTGTTTTTAGGGAACATGGCGACCAGATTACTGCTATTATGTTGTATTGGCTTCATCTTCATCGCCTGTGTTGATGGGCAACCGCCATTGGGTTCACAGTCACAGTATGCAGGTAAACTAAACATGTAGATAATACAAGAGAAATCCTACGTTATCTGCTTGTTATCATTTAAAAGAAACTCGTATAATATATGCTATGTGACATACCATGAAACCTCAGTATTAAGACAACCTTGGGAACTTAACAAACGTGGTCTTATTGGGAACTGTGAATAGGGAGTATGACAAAGTAAACAGACGCCCCTTGTTATGACCAAGTTTGTCCATATTTTAACAGCCATTGAGCCAATATATTTTGTAACATGAAACACACTATGAGTTATTTATTTCTGACTAGCCAGTTTGACACCAATATAGAGATAACTGCTCTGACATCTGGTAGTTGTACTTAGTGGAATGCACACCAGGTAACTTGGTGTTCTCTGTGGGAAAGTGTCAATTTGCGTTGTTTGGTTGGCGTTAATTGTGTTCTCATTTGAAAAAGTGTCATTGCTTCCTTGAAGAGACCAAGGTTTACATGTCATCGATAAAACAGAAGACTTTTAACCATTCGGAACACCTGGTTTTCAAGGATCTCTATGTAAATCATTTGAGTTCGAATTACGATTTTGCTTATCGCAATTTTCTTGCTGTACGTAACCATCGGCTGCATGCACTTTGTATCCATATGTCAATGATACATAAGTGTAATGTATGTTTCTATATAACATATGATAGGTATGTGTTTTATGCATATTAGAATCCAGTATATACTTTTACTGCTACACAAAAGTAAAAAATAGTAATGAATTAATATTTTTTTATATAAATTATTGCTGAAAGTCTAAACTCTTTAAAAAAAAGAATCAAATTCTGTTTGAAAAACAACAACCACGCTACTAACTTGTTAGCAGAATCTTAATTCAAACTTCAATTCGATGAAACTAGGGCAAAAACAAAAGTAAAAATTACACGTAGCTTCAGAAAAAATACAAGGAAAACAAGAACAGGTGTTCCGCACGGATAAGCGTCTTCTCTGCCTCGCCGACGACACCCATCATGTAAAAATCTTGGTCAATCGGAACAAATGAAGAAGGTAAAGTACTTAATTAAGCCTTTATACGTCTTCCTGATACAACCCTTTTCTCATTCTCAGTAAATGTTTGTAACCTATTTACTTCAGTCCTGAGAACATATGCAGTTGACTTAGTATCGCCTCTGGCGGCCGCGACTGGGGCACTGTTTGCACAACATCAAATTGAAACCGACGATAAGACATTCAAACCTGGTAAATATTCCATATATATGTACTATTGTTTTTGTGGTGCATGATCGATTATATTGTTTTTGAAGTATAGAATAGTCATAACACATAATAACATTTAATCTCCTCTTCCTCCTCGTCCTCCTTATTGTGAAGTCTCCTAATCTTCCTCCACCATGTCGTACTGGTACAGAATACCCTTGCCCTTTTCTACCTCTTCATAGTCGTTGACTTCCCCCTCCCCGTTTCCGTTCTCGACCACCTCGATTAACATCGTCTTCGTTCTTGTCTTTCTTGCGTTTTGATCCCGATTCTGTTATATAGTGTATGTTATATCATTTCATCTATCTATAGAAACGGTACCGACCTCTACGCTGCCAAATGGAGAGAACGGTTGTCCAACCGGCTGGCACTTGTACAATGGGTTTTGTTACGTGGTAACATCAAATCAAAGAAATTGGTTGAGGACAAGGGTATGATGATCTTTAACATAAATATGGAAAAATATCTTCTGTTATACATGTATTTTGAGAAGGATGTTGTGTCAATACGAGATAAATGTTTCTTTTAGGCTCTTGTAAATATACGAAGATCATTCAATAAATAATGTCATTGGTATCTTAACTCAAAAGTATGCCTTGATGGTAGAGACATTTTTTGCATTTATACTATCCATGGCGTTAATGCTGCGCGGTAGTCTCCTTTTGGTATGATAGGGAGAGATTGGAATATCGCTGTACCTTATGCACTTCTGGACGCATACTTTCCAGAAACCTTTTGTACGCACCGAAGAAAAAAGAAAGAAAAAACCAAACAAACAAAAAATAGGTTGTGTTGTCAATCTGTACTACTTTTTCTTGTTTTAAAAATGCTTATACGTAAGTACTTTGTTGGGTTGTTAAGCACCTTTTTGTAAATTTCCGCATTAATAATTGTCCTTTCCTTGCGTGGTATCCAAAATAATAGTCGGTTGAAAGATGTGTATGTTGCGTCCCATTTTGATTAGTGTCTATAATAAGAAACAATATCTTTACATCACTCAGGAGAATTGTATGAATATGGGAGGATACTTAGCCGACTTCGTTGACCAAGCCGAATTCAACAATATAAGGGACAACGTATTACAACCTTTCCGTAAGTTTAACATTCGTTTCATTTCACATATACAACAAAGGGTTCGGATATTATATTCTTTATGCATTTTCTTTATCGTTCGACACTGACTTAATGAATAAAACAAATTATGTTTATTTCGGGGAAAATCCCTCATCATGTGTTGTGATATGAAAAATATGATATTTAACATTTTTGGATGTATTTGCAGTTCATGACAAATTGAACATTTGGACAAGAACTTTATATTGAACAATATGAATCACTTATAAAAAAAAGTTATTAACATTTACTTTTAGGTGGAGCTTAATGATATAAATATATATGATGATAATGACAAATTTTGTTACATAGCCTTCAAGTTACCACTATACATTTGCCCACCACCCATTACATCAACATTAACTGTCATAGATTTTTTTAGAATTTAATTGCAACTGTTCAGCTATTCCAATGAGTAGATTTACTCATATAAGATAAATGTTTTCGAGGATTATAACCTGACATCTGATTCATATTGTCTCAAAATATTGTCGGTGATGTAAATATGAAGAATATCGTATTTCTTGATATATGTATAGTTGATGTAACATGCCTGTTAGACAACTCGGCTAAGGGTTTTATGGATTTCACTATAATTATTGCAAATTCATAAAATGTGTTGCAATTTTATCGACTATAATTTTAAAAAGAAAATCCGATATTATTCATATTTACATGGAGATAAAGTGTTTTCTGAATGTTTCTATGTGGATTCTCCATAAGGTAACTTGCAATAATATCGACTATAATCATATTCAGAAAACACTACTTCCTTTGAATGTAATTAAGTTGCAGTTATTTGTTGCATTCAGATAAAAGGAATAGAATAAAATGTTTTCACAATTTTCAATTTATAGCTGTGTGAATTCTAGTTCTCTATATTTCAATTTTGTAGCGGATAAGGGGAATTAATTACGCTCTATTCTACGTTTAACAGTCAACAAGAGAGCTCGTCTTTCCATTGATATCCATGCTTACAGAAACAAAATATACATTTTCCATTACTTCGATTAAATGTAAAATTAATTGCTGTGTTTTGAATTTCACAAACATTCCAATTAACGCGAACGTAGCGAAATTGAATCCCCGCAAGTGTTACCAACCCACACAGTGGTATCGCTCTAACAAACATGTTACATATGATGTTAAATCTGTTGTTTATAGCCGGCCGCTTAGTCTACTTTGGACTCAACGATCATATAGAAGAGGGGAACTTCATAAACGATATTGTCAACGAAGAACCTAGATTTCTGAATTTCGTTGCCGGACCGCTCGCATTTGGGCCTGGTCCAGGCGACTGTGCAGTCGTGGGGGGTAACGCTATTACTACAATTCCATGCGTACGGTCCAATTTTGGACTTTGCAAACGAAGACAGGTACAATTTTTGTCTGTTACTGCATTTTATATTGTCTTTATGTCATCATTGGGAAATTTGTACAATATTGTAGAAGAAAAGTCTGTGTAACGTAACTTGTGTCGTCAGTAGTCACTCAAATAGGATATCCGCGAAAATCAAAATGACACTTCAGTGCCTGGTGTGGGGAACTCTTTCAAGAATCTCTGTACGGATTCTCCTATGCTTTGATGTCATTTTTTCATTCTTGATGCAATACCTGACCAAATGTTCCATTATTTCCATACAGCTATTGCGTACTGCAGGGGAGAACTTTATGCGTTTCTTTTTTAGTTGAGTATACTTTGCATTTCAAATAATGTCTTATGCGGTTATCTCTTCATACAAGTGGTCCACCAAGGATGGCTGTATCCTTGTGTCAGGTGGAAAAACATTCACCGATGATTGTCGTAAACGGTGAAATAAAAGTTTCCGTAACCTTTTAAGTAAGGGATTAAGGGACTAACATCCCTTTGAGTTGACATAACCTTGTATGTTGGGGACGAATAACCTTGCCCTTGGAATTGCCATAACCTTGTAGCGAGTGGACTAACATCCCTCTGAGTTGCCATAACCTTGTAAGTAGGGGATTAGTAGCCTTGCCCTTCGAATTGTCATAAAAAACCTCGAGAAATGATGAGTGTTTTTGTCATTATTCAAGCTAACCTATGATAAATATTAATATATTACTGTATTTCATGATGAAACACATTTTATATTTCATTATGAAACTGACTTCAATAGCTTATATTACGGCAAGTGCAATGTTACTATGCGGTAAGATCGTCTAATTTAATCAACATGGCCTATAGTCGCTACAGCCATTAACATAAAAATTTGGATTATTACTTAAATAAATGTAATTACAAGCGAACCGGTAGCAAATATTTATATGATGCTATATTTAAAATGCCACCATGTCTACGAAACGCTACCAATTTTCTTTAAAGGTTCCAGTTATCTGGGTGAAACATATAACAAAAATATGTTTTTGGTACATTATTTGTGTTTTCACTTTGTCATACGAAAAAATATTACATAAAAATGTCCCAACTGGGCTTCGTACCGCGTAGATGTACACGAAAATTGTGTGTTCGGAAAAATTATGCTTATTAAAGCATAGAGATCAAAAAGACTAGTGAACAATCAATGTCTCCCAGGTTGGTTGTTACGTTGTAGTTGGTGGACAAACAATCCCTAAAGTTAATTTCCTTAGCCTTTCACTAGTTGACTAACGGTCCCCGAGAATTGCATTCGTCTTGTTTATGTACGAAGCTTTTTGACTAAGAGTCCTTACAGTTTAACCTTATAGCTTGAAAACTATCATTTTTCCCCATTATGGCTTCTGATAACTTGTAGCTGACGTGTTATTAGTTCCTTTGGTTTTACTGTTTGTGGTGTCGTTTAACGTTTCTACTTTCCCCTTATTTCTACACATTTTCATAGGGTTTAATTTGCTTGAATTTTAGTGCCTCGTTATATTATCTACAACTAATTGCAGTTGACGTTTTTGTTGTGAAGAAAACGGGAATCCACGAAATCAGGAAACGGCAAATAATTTCCCCTGGACTTTATATTTTCAAATTATCAATTTTTCGGCTATTTTATGTCATATTCGAAAATTGCGAAAACTAATTGTTTTTATATATAGCGATGAATATAATTATCTCAGATAGTATCAACAAAGCTGGTATGTTTCCTTCTTTATTTCAGAACAGTGTACTAACATACACTGGTTTGTAGACTATGAAGACAAAGGGAAGACTGATTCAATCCATTTGTATCACAAACTCCACCATAATAAATACTGTACCCAGCTTAATGTCCTGTTGTGTTTTTATATTTATAATTGATTTTTGACGATTTCCCGGGCACTGGACTCATATAGGTAAAATATTCTTTTTTGGTGTAAACAGTAAAGGAAATTATTTCATGTCAACATAATCGTAGCTCAAACTCTAATTTAATGAAAAGATGGCAAAAATGAACAAAAGAGACACTGATATGTTAGAATTTCCTTACAGACTATAATATTACCTAAAGGAACCAAGTGCTCTTGTTTTGGTTGACATGTTTGTGTTTTAATACGAGGCTGAGACCATACCAAAACTGGTCACAAAGACTTACGAAATCCACCAATTTCACTTTGAGATGTATTGATGATATATTTTATTTAAAACAATTATGAAATTTACTTACTATGTGTGTATACCCACCTGAATAGGAAATCAAAGACACGACAAACTGCTACATCAGCCGCTTATCTCGATCTTTTCCTACCACGAAATCAACAAGGACAGTTTTTTACCAAACTGTATGATAAGCATGATGATTTCAATTTCAATGTTGTAAATTTTCCATTTCTGGAAGGTAACATCTCTGTATCACCAACGTGTGATGTTTACACGGCGCAGTTGATTCGATATCCAATGACCTCAACCTCAAGATCTTGTTTCGAGAGATGCATCTTGTTGAAAATGATAGGGAAGCTTTACGGTCGTCATAATGATATCCGGAAATATCCAAGTTCCTTGTGTGATATAATAATAATAGTAATTTGATTATTGCTTCTTAACTTTAGAGATACTGTTCACATACATAAGTAACAGATGTCATCTTTACAATGTACGAGATCTAATATTCTGCTAAAACAGTTTATGATATGTATGCTTCGCAGGGGGCTGTCAAGACCTTTCGACTGCAGGTAACCCACATATGTGTGTAATGGAATCTCTATAATATACATGTAAGTGTACCGTAGGTTGGAAGTTAAGTTATCGCTTCATCGTACTCGAACTGGTGACTTCAATAACTTCATCCAGTCGGCAAATTTAGTTCTGTATGTGAATATTCTAAACTCAATACGAAATCCTTTACTAATATTCCTGTTGATTTCAATATTATTGTATGTTATATAATATAATTGTTGAAGTTTCTATCATAAGTCCATAAACGACGTAAATCACTTTACAGTTTGTTTATACTTTAGTATATATACACAGCTTCATTTCCCTTCAGCAAGCATTCATCTATTGGCAAATTATATTATCAGGTGATATTGAGTCAAGCCCAGGTCCACTATCTACTGAGTCATCTGTTGATATTACTCAGTTCTGTACTGACAAATACTCCTTCGTCCACCTCAACGTTCATGGTATCAAAAATAAGCTCGATGTATTATACACTGAACTGTTTCCTATACTATCATTCACTGAAACTTGGTAAAGTGAAACTGATATCTCCTCTCCTGACATTCATATGCCTAGAGATTCTGACCCAATCTGTTACTGCAGGTCTGACCCAACAGGTGGTGGGATATCTGTCTATATAAAGGACGATATCGCAGCCAAGCGAAGGAATGACCTAGAGCTGCCTACCATTGAGTGCGTCTGGCTTGAACTAGTCCTTGGGAGGGATACGATTTTGTACGGTATTTTCTATAGACCACCAAATTCTGCGATGATAACTTGGTCATACATTTCCCAATCCATTGACAATGCTCGCAAAACTGGTATACCAAACATTACGATAACGTAAAATTTCAATGCTTACCTACTAGTAAACCAGCAGTCTACACATTTACGTAACCTGCTTATTTCTTTTAATTTAACGTAACTTGTAGAAGAGTCAACGTTTTACACCGTAGTTTCTTCTTCACTCCTCGATATAGTTTGCACTAGTAATAAATAAATGTATTGTTGGTTAGAGTTTTCTAGACAAATCCATCAGATACTTCTTACTGTTCTATCAACATTGTTAAACCAGTGCAGCAGTCCTTCAAGCGTCATGTTTGGCTCTTTAACCATGGTAATTATTTGTCATACAGAGAAAAAATTCAGTGCAGTTGTTTGGGACTACCTACTTGATGTCGATAACATAGATTCCGCAGTGGAAAACTTTATTTCTACCTTACTTTATATTGCTTAATCTTGCATTCCGAATAAAGTAATAAACGCCAGATCTAACGAACCTCCTTGGATGACTAATAAAAATCGTAAACTCATTCGCAAACGCAAACGAGTTCATAAGAGAGTCAAACCTACCACGAATAACGCTTACAGGTTGTCTTTCCGGCAAGTTCGAATTGTATGAGTTAACGCCACTTGGAAGACAAAACTTCAATATATTAATAACTAATGTGGAAAACTTAAATAAACCCTCTAACCTTAGAGCGAGAGACTGTTGGAAAACTGTTAGATTATCATTACCCAACTCCGGTAAATTCTGCATACCCTCTCTGAAACACAATGTTTCTATAATCTGAGATGATTCTCAGAAAGCTTGTCTGTTTAATAACTTTTTTCTGTGCTCAGTCAAACGTCAATGATTCTAACGTAAATATTCCTTCTATTGACGATAAAACTAACGCACATTTACTTACAATAATTCACCGATGTTATAGACGCCATTATAAATCTTGATTGCTCAAAAGCCGTCGGCCCTGATCTTGTCAATACTCGGTTACTCAAAGAAGCTTTGGATATCATTTGTTATCCTCCAAGTAATCTTTTTAATAAATTTATTAACACCAGCGTATTTCCTAATGCATGGATAGTGATTACTGCAATTTGCAAAAAGGTAACAAGTCTGTTCTAACCAATTACAGGCTATTCGTTCTTTTATCAATAGTAAGAAAATTAATAGAACGATTTGTTTTTAAATATCACCTTTCCACTTAGGTTTTAAACATGGCGACTCACCAACCAGCTGGCTTCTATTTATTGTTAATGATATATATTCTTCACTTGACCAAGGCAAGGAAATACGAATGGTCTTCTGTGACATTAGCAAAGCATTCGATCGTGTTTGGTGCCTTCTGTGTAAATTATCCTGTTTTAGAATTCGTGGTCCACTTGGTTCGAGCACTATCTTCTCAACGGGACAAAAAGAGTTGTTGTTGATGGTAAACATTCTAATTGGACCTATATTAAGGCCGGTGTGCCACAAGGCTCTATTCTTGGACCTCTTTTTTATATTGATAAATGATATTATGGAAAACATTAATTCCATTGTTAAATTATTTGCAGACGATACGTTGCTTTATGTTATTATTGATACAGCTATGATAAGTGCAGAGATTTTAAAACATGGTCCCAAAAAAGTCCACAAATGGTTACAAGGTTGGTTAGTGAACTTCAATCCTTTTAAAACAGAAGCACTTCTAATAAGCCGGAAATATGTCACTCCTCACCATCCATCACTAGTAATGAATGATACTCACATTTCCGAATTTACATCCCACAAACCCCTTGGCGTATTTCTTTCTACTATTGGAAGTTAGAATATTTACACCAACTACTTACTAACGAAGTTAAAAAGTTTATGGAAATTTAAGTATACTGTAGACCGCTCTTGCCTTTAAACCTTGTTTTTCTCTCTAATTAGGCCAATATTAGAATACGGGACCATTATCTGGGACAATCTCAACCAAGCACAATCCGATCTTCTGGAAAAAATTCAGTCAGAAGCTTCACGCATTGTCACTGGTGCAACAAGACTAACAAGTAGATCCAAACTCTATGCGGAAACTGGCTGGCTTCCACCGAAGACGCACACATCACAAGATAATCCAGTTTCATCAAATGGTTAATGGATTGATACACAAAAACCTCCAAGATCTGCTCCCTACACGTAAAAACTTGACACACAATCATAACACTCGCATTGCCAATAACTTCCGTTCTATCTCCTGTCGTACAAGCTTTTATAAAAAAAACTATTTTACCTTCTGTATTTGGTCCATGCAATAGGCCGTCAAATCGTATAAAAGTGATAAATCGATAGGCAGACTCAACATTATAAAAACGAGACAACTTGGTACCTAAATGAGCATCTACATAAAATTTGAGAAAGATCTATACTCAACAAAAAAAGAAAGGTTAACATGTTGCCTTAGCGAATTCCTGTAAGTGAGTTAAAACAAAATGACGTTTGTGCAATATTAGAAAATGGTAATGTTTTACATTACAAAATCCAAGGGGGTTACCAAAATCATTCAAGCATGAAAGTCTGTATTAGCGAAAGAGCTGCACGAGGTTTTCTGCGACTAACTTGTATCTTCGCTTGAATTTCATAAACATTCAAACTGACAACTGTTCCTTAGATCATTATCATTATGCCCCGGCTGTCACAAGTACAGAGTGAAAGGGCTGTAGGCATGATCCAGGCTGGGGAGTCTCGCCGTCGAGTTGCATGGCATTTTGGTTGCAGTGTTAAGACAATTTGCCAGTTGGTAAGTAGTTTAAACCAAACGGGGTCAACATCCGATCGTCCCCGAAGCGGCCGACCCCGTAAAACGACCGCCAGGGATGACCGTCGTATACGATTGTATCAATGCGCAATCGATTCGTAAACGCAGTAGAGACTAAAAGGACATTGTTTGGACGTCGTGTGTCTCCCCAAACAGTCCGCAACAGGTTGAGGGCCTACCAATTGAAAGCACGGCGTCCCTACACTGGACTCAATTTGTTGCGACGTCACCGTAATAATCGGCGTAACTGGACCCGTGTTCACCGTCGTTGGGCTTTACGACAAAGGAACAATGTTCTGTTTTCAAATGAGTCTAGGTTTTGTCTGCAATACGGTGACGGAATGCGCAGAGTGTGGAGGCGACGAGGGGAGTGTTTTGCGAACTGCTGCGTCGCAGAACGGGACCGCTTTGGCGGCGGAAGTGTAATGGTTTGGGGTGGTATTTGTGGGGTGACTCGTACCAGGCTTGTTGTGTTAAATGGCAATTTAACCGGCATTCGATATCGGGACGAAATTTTAAGACCAGT